TATTCTAATGACAATTTAATAATCATAACATCAATAACAATAATAACAGTGTCGATAGCAATGGTATTAATTTTCCCACCAATTCAATGAATGGGAAAATCAGGGTCGGTAACTAGGGCCTACTGATAGACTCCTTGCCAGCTGAGTACATGTGGAGCCATCTGTATGTAACAAAATTCACCAAAAACTACAGGGGACAGAACATAAATCCGGGGCGAATGGGTTAAAGGCACAATGCACGAAAGAGTTAATAGCATGCATTGATATTGATATATATATATATATATATATATATATATATATATATATATATATATATATATATATGTCACACACACACACACACACACACACACACATACACATACACATACACATACACATACACATACACATACACATACACATACACATACACATACACATACACATACACATACACATACACATACACATACACACACACACACACATACACATACACATACACATACACATACACATACACATATACATATACACACACATACACATACACACACACATACACACACACACATACACACACACACATACACACACATACACATACACATACACATACACACACATACACATACACATACACACACACACACATACACACACACACACATACACACACACACACATACACACACACACACATACACACACACACACATACACACACACACACACACACACACACACACACATATATATACACAGAAACACACACACACATATATACACAGAAACACACACACACATATACATAAACACACACACACACACACATATATACATACACATATATATACACACAAACACACACACACACATACACACACACACACACACACACACACACACACACACACACACACACACACACACACACACACACACACACACACACATATACACATATATACACATATATACACATATACACATATATACACACACACACATTAATATTATAATGGTAATTGTCATTATCTACCATCTCAAAGAAGGCAGATCTTGCTCCGTGTCAAGACAAAATGACGTGTGGTAATCCAAAAACACTGTTAAATATTGATTAATTTTAATGTTATGTTTAATATGCTAAAGGTATTTCGTTATTGCTGATGAATATTAAAGAATTTTGTACTGTTATCACAAAGCAATAGATTTCAGAGAATATATAATGTATGTTGTAGGTGTATCTACATGTATGATTTTTCACAATAAGACTCCCATGAAAATAGTTCATAACAGATATTTAAATATAAACTTATACATGACTAAGCGTGTATAGATTTAAAAGTAAAACAAGTTAAAGCATTCACAGAATTAATGAATTTTAAAACAAATTAAATAAAATCAGTGTTTATACCCCAGATGATGGTTTTCTGATTTGTGTATTTTTATATCCATCAAATCCATTTTTTACATTTCATACAAGATACATTGTGTAATTCTGATTGTATATTTATCTTCTAATGCATATTTATGAATGATTAACCCAGTGCTGCCAGGTATGCCCTCAGTGAGTTTAGTTCATTAACTGTTGTATTTACACAGATGGCTGAATAAGTGCTTAGTCATCAATGAGTCAATTACTAGTCTAATATATCTCACTTGTTACCCTTTACCATGATTTTTGGAAATGTTTTATTTGATTGATATTACTATTAGTATTGTTGATAACACTGTAATAATTATAATGTTAATAATAATAATAAAACCATCTATATTTATAGCTTTAGAAAAGAAGAAAAAAAAGAAAAACAGATGGTGTCACATGTACTGATTGCCTTCCCTTGGTGGCTGAGGACTTGTACAGCCATCTGTGGGTAGATACATTTCACAAAACAATAACACAATGAACACATTTTCCCGGAAGCAATGGGTTAATAAGCTCCACGTGACTGTATTTCCTTTAATTTATTGCCTTGTTACCTCCCAGATTATATACAGCCAAATAAATATTGATTCTGGTAGTGGTATTTTAATGCATATAAACCAAGTAATGGTACTCTTTATCCTTTTCTCTTTCAAAACTTTTTTCTATTGCATTGTAGTCTGATTTTCCCCCCAATATTTGTGTATGTAGATTAAGAACACAAAAAAAAACAAAGGAAGAATCTAAGAGACAAAAAAATTGTGTGTGTGTGTGTGTACTGGTGTGTGTGTGTGTACTGGTGTGTGTGTGTGTACTGGTGTGTGTGTGTGTACTGGTGTGTGTGTGTGTGTGTATACTGGTGTGTGTGTGTGTGTGTATACTGGTGTGTGTGTGTGTGTATACTGGTGTGTGTGTGTGTGTATACTGGTGTGTGTGTGTGTGTATACTGGTGTGTGTGTGTGTGTGTATACTGGTGTGTGTGTGTGTGTATACTGGTGTGTGTGTGTGTGTGTGTGTGTGTGTGTGTGTGTGTGTGTGTGTGTGTGTGTGTGTGTGTGTGTGTGTGTGTGTGTGTGTGTGTGTGTGTGT